GACTCACAGCAGCCCAGCTCCAGGTTGAGCTGTTGTTCAGCATCTTAGCTGTAGAGGGCAGTGTCACTGGCCCTCATGTGGGATCCGAACCAGGGCCCTCTGGTGTCCCAAGCCAGCTCTTAACCATCGCGCCACTCGGCCAGCCCATCATTTCTTCTTAACACCTGCTCATTTTCCCTCATGGTACTCCAACATCTCTAACAGTCCCTCCATCAGCATCGTGAGGGTACGATCCAGGGTGCTTTAAGCCTTGTTACTGAGGCCTCTCCACAGTCAGGCAGCACACAGACTCCCAAATCTTGTTTCCAAAGTGGAGCATCAGCTTCTGAAATTTAACCAGAAAAAAAGGGGGCGGGAAACACCCATGCATATGTCCTCCACCTGTCCTGGCCCATGCTAGTGTGCAACGCACTCTCCGATGTGACTTGATCACACAGCCCATCAGGGCAGAGTCATTTCGGGAACCAGAAGTAGGAAAGAAAAAGGAAAGGCCTAAAAAATGTAAGCAGGTCTGCTTTCTCCAAGGTTTCTTCTTCTACACTCAACTATAAGGAAGAATACGTTATATATATTTGTAGAAACACGTTGTTCGTTTAGGTTTTCAGAGTTTAAAACCAGCCAAATTGGGGGGAGGGGGGGCTTCAGAAAAATTATTTGTATTGCTAATCTATTTATATATATTTGTGTGCGTGTTTGCTTGGATACACATAATAGCTGCTCCATTTCATAAAGTAACGGAATGACGACTTAAGCAGCATGTGATATGAGTGACTCCTTAAGTTCTCTGCATGCTACGTCAGGTTCAGTGCTAGGAAGTGGCGTTCATAGAGGTGGAACGGATCCTTCCATTAAGGAATTAGCAGTCTAGAGAGGACATGAGATATGTGGATAGTTTATGATAATGAGAGAACGTGATCACCACCATATGAAAGGAAAACATGTAATATTTGAGGTGTTTGTGGCTAACTGCTGTTAAAAACAAGACAACAGGCCCCAAATGGAGTGGCTTATGTTAAGCCCTACATTAATTACCAAATAAGGATTTAACTTAATTATAGTTTTGGCTCCCCAAGAAATGGGAATCTTAAACCAGTCAATCAGGAATCTCCTAATCAGCACTAGTTAGGGAATCAGCCTGACTGACCCCTGCCATCCCCTAAGGAAAGCAACCTTGCAATAATCAACCTTTTTTTTTTTTTTTTAGTTTAACTTTCTTGTTCCCACTCCCTTCTCTCTATAAAAGTTGTTCATTTTGAACAGCTCCTTGGAGTTCCTTTCTACCTGTTAGATTGGATGNCTCATGTTGTGGTGACCCCCAACCATAAAATTATTTTCGTTGCTACTCTATAACTGTAATTTTGCTACTGTTATGAATCGTAATGTAAATATATTTTTATTTCCCGATGGTCTTAGGCGACCCCTGTGAAAGGGTTGTTCGACCCCCAAAGGGGTCGCGACCCACAGGTTGAGAACCGCTGCTTTAGAGGATGCACCTGAGTTTTCAGAGTCTGCCTTATTGTGGGGGCTGAATGTATCGTGGAATTTGAGAGCTATAAATATATTGCCATTCCTCTAGCACTTTGTTTCACTTATTGTTCCCATGTCTGTGTCTGAATAGACAATAAGATCTTTGTGGATAGAAACAGTTATCTCACTTTGATTATTGCCCCCAAGGGTAGTAAAATAGTGGTATTCAAATGGTAACAGAGTGAATCAATGATTTAGAGATTAACCAAATGACACATACCCAGAATAACACCAAACCCTTCCATAGCTATTTGATTACATTAAATAATAATTTAATATTATTTAAT